CTTTCTTCATTACTAGCGTCTTCCCAGCGCCTCCCATAGTACCTGACTCCTACAAGGGCTTAACAAATATATGTGCAGAGAATGAGTAGGAGATGGGCTACTGTTGGCCTTGTCTCTGGTGTTCTAGGGGCTCAGGCCTGAGTTTGCAGCACAAGAGAGGTTCAGTGACCAGGCCCAAAGCAGAGAGTCAAAGGTTCAGAGATTGTGGAAGTGGGAGGCAAGCTGTAAAGCCAAGTGGGTCAGGAAGGAGGGCAGCTGGTGTTTGGGAAGGGCTGGGCTGTCACCACAGACACCAGGCTTCCAAGATGCTGAACTCCTGCCCTTGACATTTCCAAGGACCTCCTTCCCCCTCCACAAATACCTCCACATCCCTCCCCACTATTGCACTCCACCCCCGCCCCCGGCCCCCCCAGCCCCGTGCTGCTTGTTAGGATGGACTGTGGTTGCCAATCAAAACACCAGGGCCTAGCCAGTGTGCTCAGTGGATAGATCGTCAGCCTGTTCACTGAAGGGTCCCAGGTTCAATTCCAGTCAAGGGCACTTGCCTGGGTTTGGGGCTCTATCCCTAATGGGGCGTGCAGGAGGCAGCCAATCAATGATTCTCTCTCTTCACTGATGTTTCTATCTTCTCTCCCTCTCCTTTCTTCTCTGAAATCAATAAAAAAAATATAAAAAACAAACAAACAAAAATACCCACCAGGGCTGGCGGGTATAAGGCTTGTTAACTGTCTTTGCCACGCTCTTGGGTGTACTCTGCCTTCCTCCCCTCTACCACCCACATCCCAAACCTTTTCTATCTTGGTGGGCAAGTTTCATGCCAGGACCTGGCTCCCACTGGTCCCTCCCTACCGCTCCATTCCACACCTGCCAATCACACTGAACATCTAACAGGCTGAGAGAACAGAGGCCTCTGTCTGGAGTGAGCAAATGGCACTTTCTTCCCTGGGAAAACCCAACAAGAGGTTTGGTTTTATTTGTTGTTTGTTTGTTTTGTAGCCAGTTTTATCTCTCAGAGGGTAGGGGATTCCACAGAGGAAACTGCTGTTTTGAAGTTGACTCTAACAAGGTTCATGTTCACAGAGAGTCAGAGTTAGGTAGTGGGAGGAGCTTCAGCTACCTGCTCAGGAAGACCTGAGTTCAATTCCCACCTTGGTGTGAATCTGGGCACAGGTCTTTGTGAGACCCAATTCCCTCACCGATATGATGACAATAATAACCCTACCCACCGTGTAGGGTTATGGTAAAGATGGAATATGAACTCACTGACAGTGTTGAGCATGTTACCACACACTAAATGCTCTCCTGACCACCCTCTGTACTTGCACACTGTATGGGTTTGACTCGTTAGTGTAAAGTAAGCATGTCAAACTTGCAGCCCGCGGGCCACATGCGGCCCATGAATATTTTTGCGGCCCAGCCAATATAACGGTATGTAAGAAATGTTTTAATAAAAATTTCGTAACTTAATTTAATATCCTGTTATACATAATTATTAATAACGAACTACAACATTTGCTAATGCCTGATTATTATAATCATGTTGCATTTTAGTAGCAAAACTTCCAAGAGCCAGAGATAGATTTTATCTTCCAACGGGATGCTGCCTGGACTTAGTAGTGTCCAAGGACTGTATTGGCTGAGTCACAAAGAAAATAATTATTTCGATAGCTTATCAAAATAAGCTATTCCAAAGCTAGACAGGCCCTCACAACTTGGAAAGGGTTTTTGTTTGTTTGTTTGTTTGCTTCATCTTGTTTTGTTTTTGGGTCCGTGAAATATTCATGTGGCTTAAAATTCAAAGAGTAAGTCAAGTTGTCCTATAAAACAATTTTCTCCCTCTGCCAATTTCTGTCCTCCAGCCACTCCTCAGGGCCAACTAACATCAATCACGGTCTGTCTTATGTTTCATGTGCGTCTTAGTCTTTATGAAATTTTCTCCATGGGACAGTCTAGGGCGCAAGGGTGTCCTGTCTCTCTGGCGATGTGACTGACATCCTTAAGGATGACCTCTGCTCCACAGGACTGAGTGGAGGCCAATCCCAAGAGGTTAAGGAACACGTTTTCCTTGAAACAGCAGGCACCAGCCAGCGCCTGATTTTACTGCTGTGCACCCTGCGGGTCAGGCAGTTAAACATCTGCAAAAAACAAGAGATAACATCCTGTGTGGGTGAGTGCGGCTCTATCTCCTCTCACCAACTTTTCTGACAAGATCACACAATTGCATCTTTGTTCCTGTCCGGGGAGCTGACGGTTGATGCCATGGACAGCATTGTTGCTGTAATCACTGTGGCTTTAGTTTATAGTGGGGAGTAACTCATGCTTATTCACATGCAGGCCTGTTCATGTGCTCTTTCTATGTGTGTGCTTTCTCCAGTGGAAACGGCAAGTGCTTCAAAGGCAGGGTCCTAACACCTAACATCACTTTCTTCCATCTAAGCATACCTTGCATATGTCTGAGTAGCTCCGTGCGGGCATTCTGTCTTCATTAAGTTATACATTGTTCTAGGGAGACAAGAATTCCATGTACAAAACAGGGACAGTACTTACTAAAGTGCTAAATTAAGATGGGTTTGAGGGGACATAGTTGAAACAGGACTGATCATCCCCGTTCTCTCTAGAGATGACATTTTACCCATTTCTAAATTTCCTAATTTAACCTCGATTCCTAAGACTTTAGTGTACAGCTTTATTAATAGAAACAAGCTCTGTGCTTCCTCCTCTTCTCAGAAATCTTCTACATTCTGCTGGGTAATGCCCTCCTACCTACCTGGAGGAGGTAGACCTCCCCCAACCTGAGTAGCTACACCCAACCAGGGCTTTCCTAGGAGGAGACAAGGCAGTTCTGCCTAATTTATTACACTCCTGCTACCTGGAATTGTATGGTTCTTACATATTCAGGAAGACGGGCAGCTCAGTTGTGTGCCAGGAGCCAGTAAGCCCCTGGCAGGCCTCCCATGAGCTGTGGCAGTCGGGGACCTGGCAAAAGATGGGTGGCCCTGAGCAGAGCAGCTTAAACTGGGAACTGGAGGTGACAGTGATTTTGCCGTATATACTTGATTTTTTTTAAAAAAGCCACAACATGGATTTTCCTAAATACAGCATTTCTCTTCCTTCCTGGCAACGAAGGAATTGTGCTGATTGATTGGTTTTCAAGTTCCCTGTTGGGGTGAAGGAAAATGAAAGTGTAGGAAGGAGTAAGTCTGACTCATGTCCGTAGATTTTTATTATAATGAGAATCATATATTTTTCAAATAGCAAAATCAGGCTCCAGCCTGGAAACAAACAGACAAACACTACCCAAGATGATCTATGTTAAAAAATTAATCTGAACTGTGCATACTGTGCATGACTTTGAAAACGGAATTACATTATGAGTAGATGCTTATAGTGAAGAAATTGTCCTGGCCCATTTATGAGAGCATACAGTCAGTAAAATAATAATGGACAAGTCCAAATTATTACCTCCACGGATCCAGCTCAGTACAGAAAAGACTGCACCAAGCGGTAGCAGAGTCACTCACTTGACCCCACAGCACAGAGAGAAGCCAAGTGTGGGACACGTAGGATGACTTCATATAAACACTGTTATTGGTAGAAAAAAAGTCTGGCAGCATCTGTGTGGCTCTCTTTGCAAGTTTAAATGGAAATGGTGAGATTGGGTTGGTCATGTGGAGAAGTTTGTCAAGAGCTGGGCTTCCTAATTTAGGACCTTTGTCTTTAGTGTCATCACTTTCCAGGAAATGGTTGCAGGACTAGAGAGAAAAGGAAATTCGCCATCTGGCTGGCTGTCCAGCAAAGCTGCTGACGAGACAGCACTCGTGTGCTAAGGCCGCATTGGGTCCAGGTTTGGACCTCAGATTCTGGGAAGTAAGTTCATACGTAACCAAAAGCAAACAAACGAACAAGCATTTGTATAGAGAAATGGGAGTTCAAAGGGAACTAGTTTTTGTGCCAACTGGACAATCCACTGTATTATTTAACCAAAATAAGGTTGTTAAGTAGACCATGTGAGCAAAGGGAGGTAAATGATGCTAAAGGTCAATATCATTGAACTTTGAAAACCTGCTGCTGCCTTCTTTCCAATACCTCTGCCAAGGGACCAGCTTACTCACTTGAGTGGTTGAGTTACAGCATCCTGGCAACCCTTCCCTGGAAGGCTGGAGACGCGAGGATATATTCTCTACAGCAAATTCCCAAAGGATGGTCCGAGGACCCCGAGGGGTCTCTGAAATCCTTTCTGGGATGTCTGTGGGTCAAAGTTATTTTCATAATAATACTAAGATGTTATCTGCCTTTCTTACTTTTCTTGTCCCCTAAGGGCCCAGTGGAGTTTTCCAGAGGCTACATGACATATAATATCATCATTCTCACAACTAATGAAAGGTATGCTTGTATATTGTTGTTTTTAAAATTTCTAATGTGATAAATATAAGTAGATATGATCCACATTTTTAAAAAAAAGCTCTTTAAGGCTCTCAATATTTAAGAGTGAAAAAGTTCCTAAGACCAAAAACCACCGTACTAGAACAGGAGCAAACACCAGAATGTTATTCTTTTTATGAGATTTTCAAAAAAAAACACTAGAACTCTAGATGAAGACTTCTTAATGTGGTTTAGAGAGTATTTTACCTCACTAGGCACATAATATTCAGATTACCTCAAAAGGTCCAATTATTGCATGGGTATATATACTCCAAATCCTCTTATTGGATCTATCAAGTTGAAGGAGGAGGACAAGGAGGAGGTGGAGGCAGATGAGTAAACATTTTTATCTGTGATTTGTTTGTCCTTTGACAATTATCTTATCTAAAATGGATCATAATTCATGCATACCCTGAGAGGAAGTGTGTACTATTTCTGGAGTTCTTGAACTGTAACTGAACTGAAACCAAGAATCATAGCCTCCCAGGAATATAGGGCAATCAAGCTAGTTTTTCTGGTTTTATGGTGTCTGTGTGTGTGTGTGGAGAGAGAGAGAGACAGAAAGAGAAAAGGAGAAAGGAAGAGAAAGAGAGAGAGAGAGAGAGAGAGAGAGAGAGAGAGATGAGGTCATTTTAAGCATTAGGCCATTTGTTAGAGATTCCTGAAGCCCATTCTTCAAATAGAGTCAGCACTGAGGTTGGTTCTCACAGGTTGGCCCAAGGTCCACTTAGCCTGGGCATTTCACAAGGCCATTTCCTCCTAAGGAGTGTAAGGGGCCTGATCTCTATGAGCCCTCCTGAAGCTGGGCATGGAATTTGGGGTCATAAATATAATACTTGGAAGCCTAGAGCTTTCTTTGGTCTCTCTGACACTGCTGATACATGGGCCAGGACACACCTGGTGAGACAGGTCCTCAAACCAAAATAAGCAACTACAAAACACAGCATTGGGTTTGAACTGGATTGAACAAAGATTAGATGAACATCTGATATACGCAAGGTGTCATGAGGAGAGCAAGACAAGTCACAGTTCCTGTCCTCAAGGATTACAGCTGACCATGTACCTTATTCCAGTTATAGAATCACAATATCCTCTGTCCTCTACCAGAGTTAACCGACAGAGATAAGGACAGAAGGGCGACCTCCATTTATCTCCTTTTTTCTTCATGGGCTGAATCCTGAGGGACTTCCAGGAGCCATCTCCAGCCCCCTGGCCTAAAGGAAGAGCTGAAATAATTTCCACAGAAAACTCATGTCTTAGAAACAAGAAAAGGATGCCTATTATAACACAATTAAGAATCTTTACCAAAATAAAATTGATGACACTCAAAATGTTCCATTTTAATCAATAAATCTTTATAATTGTATAAATAAAGCCATCGTCTTTAGGAAAAGTGTGTGAGACGGTGGCAAGAGGGGATTCCAGCCACTCTGAGGGAGGCAAACTTGACTCACTGTTTTGGTGACAGGAGGCAATGATGAGAGACTGGCTTGGTGAGGTTGTTTTCTCTCTGGAGTGGAAAGTGTTGAGCACCGATCACTCACTGCCTCATTGTCTTGCCCGTGGGCTCCTTTCTGGGCGAGGCAGAGAGCTGTATCCCCCGCAGAGCCTTGTAGGAGTCTGACAACAGCTCGTGGAAGGCCCCTGCCCGGGGGCCCAGAAGGGGCAGTCTGTAGTGAATGCTCTCTGGAGGGCAATGCAAGAAGGAAGGACAAGTGCTGCTTAGATTCTATTTTTAAAGAAACTCAAAATAACCAAAGGCCACCAAAGACTTCTTCAACCCTCTGAAACAGACTCAAAATTTGCAGGATTCCCTTTAATAGAACCATCACCCGCACCCCCCCACTCCCCCTGGGCAACTAAGCTTTTGCAGCTCTTGTCAAAGAGGCCAAAAAGAAGTGCCTAGAAACCAAACTCAAGTATGAGCAGTCGCGGCCGATTAAATAAAAATGAAGACAAAATGCATCCAGATTTGTCAATAGTTTTATTCATATATACGGGGCCGGATCTGGGCCGCAGCCAATAGTTTGCCTCGCCAAACACACAAACATGATCTGACAAAATGGCCACAGTAGGGAAAAGTGCTTGCATTTTCAAAGGAACCTTTGTTTTATAACATAATTTGTTTTGGAATTCTTTAGAATCCTTACCATCCTGACCTCTCAGTCGAATATTATTTTATTTACAAAAAGTTGTTAATATTCAACTTTACCAAAAGACATGTGGCTTAAAGGAGAAAAAACAGTACACGAAATAACATTTTCCCATTGGAATACACTGAGTGACGGAGGGAACTGGAGACCTGAATTCTCTGGAACATGTTTCTGATTCCAGCTGAATGAGAGCTGAGAGAGTCACAAAATAACGAGCCCAGGGTCCAGCCTAGGCTCATCGCTCTGATGAAGAGGAGACAGAGGTCCAGGGTCATGGGCACTGACAGACCAAGGACCAAAACCCAGAGCTCCTTGTACCATATCACATGCTGTGCCAGGACGTAGGCATCCATGTCTACCCATGTTTACGGACAAGAGCCTGTGGGTGTCATGGGACTCAGGACTCTAGGCCAGAGTCAAGGCAAATGGATTCAGAACAAATCCCTCCCCATCACTTACAAAGATAGGCTCTTCCCACTTACTTAGTTCTCACCGATAATTATCAATAATACATGAAGTTTAGCTGAATACACTGGAAATCATTGTTGCAATCAGCAAAATTGGCAGTAATGTTTGTGGGATGAGTCAGTACTTGGTCTTTGTAGCATGTCCACGGCGATGCAGCACACGCTGTGGCAGGAACATGTCTAAGCCCCATAAATCAGCACGGCTGGGGACGTGTCAGCAGTTTTTCTGGGCAGATCAAAGGTGAAGGCTGCTGGTACTGAGGCTCTGGCTCTCTCGGGAGTGGGGGTGGCGGGCAGGGTGGGAGGCACAACATTTCTCTAGTTTTACAGGTGGGAACACGGAGGCCCAAACAGTTTAAACACTTGGGCAAAGCTTGTATGGGCAGACTAGGATCCGAAGCCAGGTCTCTGCTCCCAGGCTAGTGCTTTTCCATAACCTCAGAGAGCAGACACAATAGCAAAGCTCAGCTCTCAAACATCATGACCAGAATCAACTGTAGATCTACCCAGCTTCAGCTCCTAGCCAACTCCATAGGCTCTGTCTGTTCTGTCCTTGGATGGACTCTATGGGCAAGAACCAGGTCTGTCCAGGAAAGAACATAATGTGCTGATCACAATCGCGTACACCAAGTCTAGCTCTCCTGTTGGCCATTGGAATACACTCCTAGGGCTATTAAGTTAATAAAAGGCATCTTATCACATAACCCTAAAGAATCGGAAGATAAGCATTCTAGCTGAGGGAAGGGTGTGTGTGTGTGTGTGTGTGTGTTTCATTCCTTTGTGAGGCAGACCTGAAAAAATCCAGGTTAAAGGAAACTCAGGACTGGGTGGCTGCTACAGAGACCCCTGGAACCAGCTGCACATGTCTGTCACCCAGTGTTGTCTTGGCTTCAACAGAATGAGGTGGTTGCAGACCAGAGGACAGCGGGGCTTTCACTCAGAGGAGGCTCTTAGCTCCTGGCTCTTTGTCAACTTTGTCCATGGGCTAGGCCAAACTCTTTGGATTCATAAAAAAGGATTCACTGCGACTAGCAGTCTTTTACCTCATGAGAGTGGACATCTCCAAACCTTAGCTGTTACCAGAGTGTCTGGTCCTCCTTTTTGGGACCTTTTCAAGATACCCCTTCTATGCTCAAATTTCCTTCTTGATGCCTGCTCAGTTCAGTTCTGGCTCTAGCTCCTCTGCAATCGCCAGGATAGAGCTTGCACTTCCCCATCTGTATGAAGTGAAGAAAGTGGCCTTGATTTTCCTTACTGTGTGTTTCAAAGAAAAACTGGAGGTGACTTCAATCAATATGAAAGCAAATGAGAAGATGGACAAAGTCTCTCAAATGACAGCCTGCATGGCACTGAACCCTCGGATCCTTTCACCCAGAAGAATGATCCACTCCCACCTTCACAGCCCAGTATTGCTTCTCTAAAAGATGAGACTTAGGTCAATGCTGAAGCTGGAGACAGAGCCACTACCCCATTTTCCATCAACAGCAAGTGAACATAAGAATAGCACTGGGCAGCTTCTGGGAGAAGGCGGGTGTGTTAGGAAACCGGTGGCATGGAAGGTTCAGGGCCTTGGTAAGGCCATTCCAGGTGAGAATGCAGTCCCCTTCCCACCTTAACTGGTACTACCAGGCCTGCCTTCCTAGCACACAAGTAGTGTATAGGCGACTGCTTTTCAACAAAGGAGCCAAAAACATACAATGGAGAAAGAAACACCTCTTTCATAAATGGTGCTGGGGCAATTGGAATGTCATATGCAAAAGAAGGAAATTAGACCACTATCAGATACTATACACAAAAATTAACTCAAAACGAATTAAAGACTACATATAAGACCTGAAACAAAATACGTAGAAGAAAACATAGGTACTAAACTTGGTCTCAGAAAGGTTATTGTGAATTTAATACAAAGGCAAGGAGAGTAAAAGCAAAAAATAGAATAAAAATAAAAGCAAAAATAAACAAGTTTCTGCACAGCAAAATAAACCATCAACAAAACAAAAAGGCAACCAGCCAAATGGGAGAAGATATTTGCTAATATTCAAAATATATAAAGAACTCATATAAGTCAACAACAAAAGAATCAGCAATCCAATTTAAAAATGGGCAGAAAACCTGAACAAACACCTTTCCCAAGAAAACATACAAATGGCCAACAGATATATGAAAAGAGGCTCAACTTCACTAGCTATTAGGGAAATGCAAATCAAAAACACAATGAGATACCACCTCACATCTGTTAGAATGACTGTTATCAATATGACAAGAAATAACAAGCATTGGAGAGGATGTAGAGAAAGGGGAACCCTCATATACTGCCGGTGGGAATGTACATTGATGCAGCCACTATGGAACACAGTTTGGAGGTTCCTCAAAAGTAAATAATAGAGCTACCATATGATGCAGCAATCCCTCTTCTGGTATCTACCTGGAAAATTTGGAAATGTTTATATATAAAGATATACGTATGTTCACTGCAGCATTATTCACAATAATAGCCAAGACATGGAAACAACGGAAGGGTTCTTTGATGAATAACTGGATAAAGAAGATGTGGTACATACACACAATGGAGAGCTACTCAGTCATAAAAAATTATGAAAATATATAAAGAATATATTGGCAATTGTGACAAATGGGTAGATCTTGAGACTATCATGCGAAGTGAAATAAGTAAGATGGAAAAGGTTAAGAACCATATTATTTCACTCATTTGTGGAGCTTAAAAATACAAAGCAATACATGAACAGACAAACTCATAGACACAGACAATAGTATGGTGGTTACCAGAAGGGAGAAAGGGTAGGGGAGGATGGAGAGAATAAAGGGGGTCAAATATATAGTGATGGAAGGAGACGAAACTTTGGGTAGTGAGCACACAGTGCAATATACAGATGATGCACTTTAGAACTGTATCCCTGAAACTTACATATTGTTATTAACCAATGTTACCCCAATCAATTCAATTTTTTTAAAAAAGAGAATGGGAATTTGTTCAGAAAATTTAGAAATTATCTTAGGGGATTAAACTTTTCATTCCACTACTCTGGGGGCAGCGTGCCTCGTTCCACACATACTTCCAAAGAAAGCAAACCTGTTGAGATGTCATCAGGGGAACATCTGGGATCAGTTGGAGCTTTTGGTGGCGGAAGACACTTCATTCTGATTGGGGAGAACAAGAAACCACGTTAGTTACTTGACCAGGGCTTGCTGGAAAGGAATGTGTTCTTGCATGTTTTAAAACAGTGACGGCCTCTTGAATCCAGCACTTGTTGGCCTGGTACTGAGACCGCCTCGCAGCAGAGACAACTGGGCCAAACTTGCAAAAACAAAGTACTTTTGAGCGAAGTGCAAAACTTGTAAGATAAATAATTTGGGGCAACAAATTGCAAAAGTCTCCTTCATAGAAGAGTGAGCTTTTGCTCAGAAATCCCTGGATTTCGAGAGTTGAGTTTTCCACTTGCAGTCCACAAAGACTATTTATTAGAATGACTTTTATTGTGCTTTGACATAAAAACTATTTAAAAGTATGGACTCAGTGTAGGTGAATGTTATGGGTGCTGGAGCCTGAAATGCTCAAATACCCATTTCCTCCGTGATCCTGTCTACCTGGGCCAGGTACTGTGGTTTTAATGCACCAGAGTCTACATCTCAATGTGGACCAAATGGCCCTGAGGTCAGCTACTGCTGTCCAATGTAATAAAGACCTATTATCCTCCCACATTACTGCTCTCTGTGTGAGGGGGGGAAAGTAAACCTTTTTGATTGGTCATATATCAGGGTAACTGTATGTCCAACCATCTACTGCAAAGCAGTTCTACCTATTTTGGTGCCTGATGCAGGGTGAGTCCATGTTTTAAGGTTTTTTTTGTTGTTGTTTTTAGAGTTTATTCTCTTTTTGTAAAATTATATTTTTAGTGGTTTCAGAGGTGAATGGAGAGAGAGAGAGAGAGAGAGAGAGAGAGAGAGAGAGAGAGAGAGAGGGAGAGAGAGACAGAGAAATATATTTAGAGAGAGACAGAAACATCAATGATGAGAGAGAATCACTGGTCGGCTGCCTTCTGCACGCTACCACTGGGGATTGAGCCTGCAACTCAGGCATATGCCCTGACTGGGAATTGAACCGGGACCTCCTGGTTTATAGGTTAACCCTCAACCACTGAGCCATGCCAGCCGGGCTTGAGTTTTTTAATAACGTAAAAATTGAGTATTTCTTCCCTGTCTGATAGTTAAATACAGGAAAAAACCTGAAATCCAACTAATCAAAATTCTGCCTGGATTTTATTTCTGATATAGTTACTTTTGATAAGAAAGCAGCAAATGACAACCAACCAAACGGATAACGAAAAGGAATATTAGTTATTAAAGAGTGCAGCGGATGTCCCAGTGTCACGACAGATTCTGTGACCTGAATTAGATATGCCATCTACATAGTGAATTTGTATTTACTCCTGCCTAAGTTGTCAAAGACATTTCCTATCTTATTCCCCGCACTGTTCTTGCAAAAATGGAAAGGATGATGAAACCTCCTACAGTAGTTTCAGGGTGAAAAAGACTTTTTGGGTCTAACTATCTGGTTTAACAAAAAAACAAAACCATCAAGAAGCCCATTCTCTGGCCCTGGCTGGGTAGCCTAGTTGGTTAGAGAGCATCGTCCCAACAGGCAGAGGTTCCGGGTTTGATCCCCATTCAGAGCATTTATAAGGATCAGCCAATGAATGCATAAATAAGTGGAATAAATCTCTCTCTTTCTCTCTTCAAAATCAATAAAAAATAAAAGAAGCCAAATTCCTTAGCATCCCCTACACATTCTACTTACTGTTTCTCGATTCATTATCATTGTGCCTCCAAACCAATATAATTGGAATTAGCCATGCCACGTCCCAATTTAAACCTTTGACTTACCTATGACTCATACAATTCTCAAAGGAATGTTTCAGAACCTTTGGGATCATCATTGTTCTTGGTTGTACCTGAGGAAGACAGTCTCATTTAGAACACTGTCCAAGACCGCATTCCAATTTTCATAACCTGTATGTGCCACCTTAACAAACTCAAGTTGTTTAAATATCAGAGTCAGAACTGTATCCTTTTGTGATATGAATGAACCAGAAGGAAATACCCTGCTCACACGTCATAGGGTCTTTGTTCTTCCCTGGTTACCAGATTTTGAAGTTAGATACCTCAAGATTAGTAAATCTTCCAGTTTTCTTTGGTGAGCTCACCACAATATTCTTCAGGTTTCAGGTTAACTATCACTTTTTCACAGGCACTCCTGGGTCCCGGATGGCTGCCCAATGACCTCCTTGTTCCTAGGCTGCCTCGACTAGAATACTTATAACCTTTTCATTGTAGTCATTTGCTTAATGTCTGGCTTCCTCTTACAGACTTTCAGCTTCCTGAGGCCATAGACCACATCTGTACTTCAGTATTTCCAGGTCCTTAAGAAATATTTGTTGACCAAATTAGTGGATGAATGAACTCACTGCAAAGCATACATGAGGGTGTGACGTGTGCCCTTCACACAGCTGTCCCTGGTGGCCCCACACTAAACAATGGAGCACCTGGCCAAGGGTCACTTCAGCACCAATAATAATTACCCAAACCACATTCTACTTAGGATTTCTATTTCATTGATATTCATCCATTTTATGCTTTTACTTTTAAAAAATATTTTTCTGTTGCTAATCATTTTCTTAAATTGGGACATAATTCACATACTATAAAATTGACCACGTTAGTGTCCAATTCAGAGGTTTTTGGTATATTAATAAAGGTGTATAGCAATCACCACGATCGACTTCCAGAACAGTTTCATGACTTCTTTATTCAGGAGTCAGTCCTCCTTTCCCAAGTCCTCAGCAACCACTATTTTTTTTCTCTATGGATTCACCTACTCTGGACATTTCGTATATAGGGAATCATACAATATGTGGTCTTTGCTGTCTATTTTCTTTAAAAGTCCTGTAGCTTTGCAGTGAGTTTTGAAATAAAAAATGTGTGATTCTTCCAACTTTGTTCTTCCTTTTCTAGATTTCTTTGGCTATTCTGTAACTCTTGCATTTCCATATGAATTTTAAGATCTGCTTGTCAATTTCTATAAGAAAGGCATCTGGGATTTCAAGGACGATTGCCTTGAATCTGTGGATCAATTCAGTGAGTTGTATAGCCATCTTAGCAATATTAAGTCTTCTAGTCCATGAATGTGGGATTACTTCTATTTATTTAGGTCTTCTTTAATTTCTTTCTATAATATTTTATAGTTTTTGTTGTACAAGTCTTACATTTTTTTTGTTAAATTTATTCCTAAGTATTTTAATTTTTGAGGCTATTGCGAATGGAATTGTTTTCTCATTCTTTTGGATTGTTCATTGGTAGGGTATAGAAATAAAATTAATTTTGTACATTGATCTTACTAGTATAGTCTGTAACACTGCTGTACTCATTTATCAGCTCTAATAGTTTTTGTATGTGTGGATCCCTTAGAACTGTCTATATATAAGATCACACCATCTGCAAATATAGTTTCACACCTTCATTTGTAATCTGGATTCCTTTTATCCCGTGCCCATCTCTGTCATCACTGGGCTTACCATTTTCACTTCCTGGCATGTGGAGCACAGCTGCGGGTTCCTGCCCAGCATGGGGCCTCTCTGGTTCCTCCTGGCCTGCGGAGAGAGAGGAGAGACAGAGCAGTGAGGAAATGCTGTGGTATCTGGGGCAGCAAAGAAGTGGGAAGAGGGTGAAGGGGTGAGGGAGGCTAACAGTTATTCCTTCCATAGAACAGAGATGGACGCTCTAGTCTCAGCCCCATCCTGGGTGGATGTAGAATCGAGGCTTGACTGCAGCTGGTAGGTGCAGAAAGGGTTTAGGCAAGAGGGCTGAGCCAGAGACCTGGGAGGCCTTGAGCC